ATGGTGATCACATGATCTCCCCCCCCCATAGACAGTGCAACTGTCATAATTACCTGCCAAGCGCCTGAATTTTGATCATGTGACCATGGGGATGCTGGAATGGTTGTAAGTGTGAAAACCGGTCATAAAGTCACTTTTTCAGTGCTGTTGTATCTTCAAATGGTCACTAAATGAATAATTGTGTGTCAAGGGTTACCCGTAGAAGGACTTGATTAGGTAAAGAATATAATTTTATTCAAGCAATTACTTTTCCATTAACTTGATACCAATATGGAAGGTGGTTCCTGTTCCCTTCTTTTGCATTTTTTTTTAATACCATGGGCTAGCTAACAGCCTAGCCCTAGGATTTTCCTGGTGGTTTTTCCTTCCAAATATTAATCAGGTCAGACCCCGCTTAGCTTCTTCTGGTATATCTCAGTCTTACTGACTGGTGTGTGATTAGATAAAAAGCACAAATGCAGCAGTGGCCTCACATCAGCGTTAGGGGTTTGGTAGAGATTTGCCATCACAATGGGTTCTGAAACCTGGGGAAATAATCTCATTTTATTAAAGAGACCTTGGTTTAAATAGAAACCTGAGATTGTGATAGGAATCACTTGGTGTTGTACTGGCTGTTAATTCTATACAAACTCTAGATTTAAAACATAAAAATACTGTATGTCCATGCTTTGGTGTCCTGTTATCTAAATAATAATAGTTTCTGACATGTTTTAAATTGGATTAAGATGGATTTGGAGATAGTAATGGTGATCTTAATGGCTCGAATACAATTATTGCTTTGATATTTGCTTTCTATCTAATCACACACCAGTCAGTAAGACTGAGCTATACCAGAAGAAGCTAAGCAGGGTCTGACCTGATTAATATTTGGAAGGAAAAAACACCAGATCTATCAGAAAGGGCGTGCTGTGGGTCCTATCTGATAGAACACTACATTTGGTGAGTCCCAGGAGGTGGGCCTTCTCTTTATAGCACCCACTCTCTGGACCATTTTCTCCCCGCCCACATGTCCCCAAAGTGAGGCAACTCCACTCCTGTTAATGTTCCTGAAGTCTCCCAAACTCTGAAATGGAGTTTTGCAAAGTTTAGAGTAATACTACTTTGTATAACAGTTAGCTTTATAAAATCATTTTATATAAAGCATTCTACTTCTTAGCTGTTTATGCAAAGCTGATAAATTGTCAGTTGAAAAAAAATAGTTTTTCTAGAAAGTATATCCTCTTGAATAATACACCTTCTCATCAGAGTCAAGGAAGTCAGCAATTGGTACTGTGCTTGCTGTTTTAATGTGGACAATCTGATGGGCAAACCTATCGCCTTCGTGATGCATGTTTTTAAAAGTCTTAAGTTATGTACAATTTCCATTTGAAATGATGTGCATTAACACTTTTTTCTTTTAATTAGCTACTTACAGACATAGAAAGATAATAAATATTTGAGTTAAAATACCAATAGAAAAAGAATCACAGTGCTTTACAATATTACCGTACACCCATATATTCAAAAGTAAAGCCTGATGACTTAATGCACCAAAAATGTTTAATAGTGTGAATAGAAAATCTCTAAATAAGCCTTCAGCGCGGATGAAAAATAGACACTAAACAAAGCAAGCTGCCAGAAAGTGGATTTTATTAAAGAAGCCAGACAGAAAAGTGACACAGCAATGGGTTCTGGACTAGCTAGTAAAAATCACCTAAATACATGGTACAATTTATACTCTTTCTATCTATTTTAAGTCTTGAGATTTGTAAGAAGTTTGTTCTTCTTAATTTCCTAGCCTGGTTTTTCCTGTCAGGAGGATTGATTAATCCTATCACTCAGGGAAGGAAATAACATGTTGATGAAGTTTTTGTGTGTCTAGCTTAATCTTGTCATAGGTTCTGGTGTGTGTCTGGGGTAATCCTGTCAGCTCTTTCTGTTTATTCAAGGCTAGCACTTATTGCTGCATTGTTTCTTTTGCTGCTTCCCCGGGGCTATTAACTGAGCTGGGTGGTGGAGGAAGAGAGAGAGAGAGAGAGAAACTCTTCTCTGATACTTTTATTTTTTCGGCTTGAAGGGAAATGGATGTTTCTTTTGGAGCAGACTTCCGTATTTGTAGTAGTTGGTTTCTGGGGTTAGGCTTTCTGCCTCTTTTCCTATGGTTCCTACCTGTTTATATTTCCCAAAGATGTTTCCTTTTCAGGGATAGGTAGATGCTGACTTCCAATATGTTCTTGATTTAATCAATCCATCAGTAGCATATATCCAACCAAGTACATACTGAATTGCATGTTAAAAGAATACACAAGAGAGCACAAGAAGAGAATGAACATTGCCCAAAGCCTACAAATAAATATAGGAAAAGAGCAAATCACAACTGCATGTTTTCATATTCATGACTGCTTATTCGTAACAAGATAAATCATTAACAATCTTCGAGTCAACTTATTTTAAAGTTAAAATTATCCTTTTGACAGGACACAGAATGATTTTTAATTATGATATTTTGTAGTTGTCCAGTAACAACAGCCCAGGAGGATGCACTGTCCGTTTAAATAACTGTTTTATTGTACAATACAATATATTGTAAAAATTAAATAATAAGATACTAGACCAGTTGATGTCTGATTCCTAATAGCTCACTCTCTCAGTTTTGCAACATTTTTGGTGTATAAATAGATGGAACTATGTTGCCACCTAGTGATCTGTAGCCCAGATGTAAATATACAAAGAAAAATTTCTCAGCAAAAATCTTTAGCATTCACTCTGTTTTTGCTGATAAAAAATAAGAGGCCTACTAAGATCTTAAAATGCTGCTAATAACATGTATTGTGTTTATTGATAATGATGACAATAATGCTGGTTTTGTAAATCACTCATACATTTGAAGTAGTTTTTGCTTTAAATTCTGAAATGACAGATGCCGTATTTACTGATCATTATTACCCAAACATTTCTGTTGATTGTTTTTGTCCAAAGTAATAATGCATATTTATTTATTCATTTTAAAAACCAAAACTGTTACTTTTCTGCTGTGCGGAAAAAACATGTATAAATTTGAGTTATTTGCTTACCAAGCTACTGTATTTTCCTTGCTTCCTTCTTTATATTGTTTTATTATAAAACGTAAATAGTACATTATACTATTGGATATAGTGATATTTATGGAAGCTGCCTACAGATTATTAACCCTGATGATTTAGATATCTTACCCCTTTAAAGATAAAAGGAAAAAAGAAAGTTTAGAAATAATTATGATTTCTAAAATGTTAATGTTTAGCATACAGTTGCTTAAATTTTACATCTAAAGCTGAGTGTGACATTAATAAACTGCAAAATACATTGAATTGTTCATATCACAGGCTTCTTAATACTAAGATTCCCACTATACTGTTTCTTATGGTTTATGCATGTTAGAAAAAAGACAATAAAAACAAACATGTTTCTAACTTTCCCTGACTTGTGCTTCTACCAGTTTGTGGTGTTTATAAACATTAGTTTATTGCTAAGGTATATGCAGTACTGATTATTTTAGTACAATTAAATTGTAATGCAAGCATTTTAGAGGAGGAATAGGAAATTTTTACTGAAGGCAGCAGAATGGGCAAAAATGAAGTCATAACATTCCCAACAAAGGAACAGTATGAAGAAATAAGATCACTCTGAAGGCAGGACAAGAAGCAATGGATGGAAACTAATCAAGGAGAGAAGCAACCTAGAACTAAGGATAAATTTCCTGACAGGACAACTAATTAGTGGAACAACCTGCCTCCAGAAGTTGTGAATGCTCCAACGCTGGAAGTTTTTAAGAAGAGATTTGACTGAAATGGTATAAGCCTGAGCCCGGGTGGGTGTTGGACTACCGGCAGTGTTTCTCAACCTTGACAATTTTAAGGCATGTGGACTTCAACTCCCAGAATTCCACAGCCAGCATTGCTGGCTGTGGAATTCTGGGAGTTGAAGTCCACATGCCTTAAAATTGTCAAGGTTGAGAAACACTGGATCTCCAAGGTCCCTTCCAACTCTGTTCTTCTGTTATTCAGTGGGAAAACTGGAAGACAGAATGGACAGAACAGCTGTGGGCTGCCAAGAAAGAGGTGAAATAAACAGAACAGCTTTGCTGTGTGGATAGAAACAACAGCTGTATCAGATTGAGAGAGAGCTAAGCTGATTATCCTCCAGGGCCATCAAAGCTCTGATCTGTCAGCTGCCTGAGAAATGACATTTGAGTTGGGCTTCTGTAACTGGCTGTAAAAAGCTCCCATGTCTAAATTTTTTTAAGTTTTTGTGTCTCTTCCTGCCATCTTTGCTGCTCAGATACGGTGTGGACATTATGAACAATGACCACATTAATAACATTGAGTTGTACTCAGCTGGTCTGAGCTTTCATGATTGATTTTTTTTAGAATGAAACACTTGAACACACTGACTTCAGAGTAAGTGTGATCATCATAAAAGAACTGATTTTAAATATATAGTCATTTTCATCTCCTTCCTCAATCACCTGTCCTGCCAAAGCTTCATTAACGTGGCTTTATTCCAGTGTGGAAGTTATGGGAATTTAGGAGGGGCCCGGGGTCACGATTTGTTTTTGCGGTTTTTACAGCAATATTAAAAACAATTTAAAATTTATATTTGTACACCCGCCCAGAATCGCTCTGTAAGGGAGATGGGCGGTCTCTAAATACGATAGATAAATAAAATTAAAATGAGAAAAAAAAAAATGAATGCAGATTCCTCCGCAGGACTGATTTACAGCGTGTGATTGGAAATTCATAAACCAAGCCTGAAGTGATAAACGCATCTACTACTCTTCTTCTTTCTATCTCTATAAGAAAAAAGAAAAAAAAAGACCTTTTCCTATAGAGAGGCACGCTACCATAGAGACTCACCGCCCCGCCCTTCTTGAATTGGCAGAACGGCAGTGGCATAAAAGATCCCGGAACCGGTTATAATCGGCCGCGGGGCATTGTGGGTTGTCGGCGTTACTTGCGGGCGACGAAGTGGGGCGAAGAAGCGATTGTTGTCGGGGTCCCCCGAGTGCCGTCTCGCTGGGACGGCGAGCGCTTCCGATAGCGGCGGCTGCGGCTATTGCATTCGGCCCTGCCATGTCCTTCAACAAAATCCCACCGCGGTGGCTGAACTGCCCGAGGCGCGGACAGCCCATAGCAGGTAAGCTGTGGCGGGACGGAGGACCGGGTGCCGGGCTTTGATAAGAGAGCCTGTCGCGGATCCTCCCGCCCTGTGGCGCTTGAGCCTCTGCTGCGCACCTGGAGGCCGAGCAGCTGGCCCAGGTTGTATTGTGTGTGTGTGTGTGTGTGTGTGTGTGGGTCTTCGCTCTGTTGGACCAGCAGGCTTATTCGTATAGGGCAGGGGTAGGCAGCCTTGGCTCGTGGACTTCAACTCCCAGAATTCCTGAGCCAGCAGGGGTAGGCAACCTTGGCTCTTTTATGACTCGTGGACTTCAACTCCCAGAATTCCTGAGCCAGCAGGGGTAGGCAACCTTGGCTCTTTTATGACTCGTGGACTTCAACTCCCAGAATTCCTGAGCCAGCAGGGGTAGGCAACCTTGGCTCTTTTGTGACTCGTGGACTTCAACTCCCAGAATTCCTGAGCCAGCAGGGGTAGGCAACCTTGGCTCTTTTATGACTCGTGGACTTCAACTCCCAGAATTCCTGAGCCAGCATAGCTGGCTCAGGAATTCTGGGAGTTGAAGTCCACGAGTCATAAAAGAGCCAAGGTTGGCTCAGGAATTCTGGGAGTTGAAGTCCACGAGTCATAAAAGAGCCAAGGTTGGCTCAGGAATTCTGGGAGTTGAAGTCCACGAGTCACAAAAGAGCCAAGGTTGGCTCAGGAATTCTGGGAGTTGAAGTCCACGAGTCACAAAAGAGCCAAGGTTGGCTCAGGAATTCTGGGAGTTGAAGTCCATGAGTTATAAAAGAGCCAAGGTTGCCTACCCCTGGTATAGGGAAATCATTGATCAGGTGCCGAGAGTGATTTTAGAATTTGGGGGCAGAGAGAGAAAGTTTCCTCTTCAGCCGCTTGGATAGTGTTTCTATGAAAAGGAAGAGAAGATGCAGAGTTTTGTCTCAACGTTCCCACTCCGGAAAGAAAGAGAGAAAAGAACCCTTTTGTAATGGATTATGAATACACTTAAGTACCAATTCACTGAACCCGTTACAAGTAACAGAAACATAAATGACCCCCAGGCAGCCTGATAGGAGCAAACCAGTGGATTAACAGTATGGGATTTAGGTATACCTACCCAATTAAAGGCCTAGTTTAATTATGCTCCCAAATAAATAAAAACTTAAGCCATGCTGCATGTTGTGTGCTCCTGGCCACTTTCCTTCGTGACCAGAGGCTCGCCTGACCAATAACCAGCCAAGACACAGGGAAGGCCTTTTGTTTTGTTTATTCCAATAAGCGGGGAGAGAAGCTATCAAAGCTTGGTTCTCTCCAAAGTTTCAACCCAAAATATTTCCTTCTTTATACAGGCTTGTCCCGGCTGCCACGTCCCCCCTCTTTCCCCATTGGCTGAGGTACTATGAGGGTACACTCTTTCCGACCGCCTCCTACCTATTTCGTGCTACATATTAAATCATACATCACATGTACGTTAATAATATAAAATATTAGACCTATTCAATTGTTGGGTTTGCGTTCTGGGCCCCTTAGAACGATAGGTTCTTTCCTGCTTTTCAGTTTAGTTAAGTTTTCCTGGCTAGCTATTTCCTCTTAAGAGATGTTTTAATAGCTTGTCTTCTTCCTTTCCCACTCTAAGACCCAGCTAATTTTTGCCTACGTATTTATCTTACATCTTGCCTTTATTGCTATCCTTTCCTGTTTCCCAGCCATTATAGTTTTTGGTAAGCTTTTTTGTCCAGGCAGTAAGTTTCCACTGCAGCAAATTCAATTTTAAATTTCTCTTTCAATATTAAATTTTGAAGACCTTTCCTTTACTTCTATCACTGCAGAAATAGCAAGGACAGCTTCTTGCCGGTCTTAGGAAAAGGGGAAGGGGGGGAGGGTTGGAGAAATTATTTGCAACACTTAATTGTGCTTGTTAATTTAATTCTTTAAAGTAAAACCTGACCATGAAATAGCCCAGTGATGGCAACCCTTTTAGAGACCGAGTGCCCAAACTGCAACCCAAAACCCACTTATGTATCGTCGGGTGCCGGGTGGACATGGCCCATTGGGTGGGCGTGGCCCACTGGGTGGGAGAGGCTGCGATGGTAACGGCAGATTGGGTGGGAATTAAAAAGTTCAATCAATTCCAACTTTGCAAGATCTTTTTTCCCCCCCGCGAGTTGAAATTGATTGATTGATTGAATCTTTTTTTTTTTTTTGCACACGGCGGCGGAGGCCTAAAGCGAAAAGGTTTTATAAAACCCAGCTGAAGGCCTAGGACTGGGGCAACGGTGCGCGTGCCCACAGAGAGGGCTCTGTGTGCCACCTGTGGCACGCATGCTATAGATTCGCCACCACGGAAATAGCCCAATAGAGCTTCAGTTAAGTAAGGAAAATTAATGCTGGGCCAGTTCCTTGGCAATTGAAAAGGCAAATATTCACAGCCATAGTTTGTCTAAAATAAATTTAGGAGAAATTGTTTCAGCCTAGGCACCTTTTGTTTTCTAAATTTATCACAAAATTCAGTTTATTGATTGTTGTTATTATATCTGAGGGTTGCTGACCAGAGGTTATTTTTAGAATGAGTCAGATACCCCTAGGGAGAGATCAGAAGAACTTAAGTGTTGCAGTGAGGACATATTCTAGATTTGTCCCAAGTTGGAATCTGGTTAAGGCAGGATCTTTGTTATCTGAAAATTTTTTGAGCCTGTGAATCTCAAGGAAGTGGACAGGCTTCTAACAGGTGTCAGTGCAGTAATCAGTGGGACAGATACATGTCTTAACTGATTAAGGTTATGGTTCAGCCCAGTGCATTCTTGGTTGAGGGGATAATACCTCCTGCCTTGAAGAAGGCAATGGTGCATTCCTTCCCTCAAGAAGACTAGATGTCTTTCCGGCAAGATTTAGACATGGTTATAGCACTGAAACAACATTGATAGAGTATACTCTGGTGGAACTGGGGTAGCAGTAGTGTAATTCTCCTGGATTATTCTTGATATTTCAGTGGGTTTCAATACCATTATTTATGGTATTTAAAGAATACCATATTATGTATCAGAGGATAGCGAATGGAGACATTACATTACAATGGTTTTCTTCCTTTCTCAATCTAGAATCAGTTCCAGTAGAGGTTGGTGGAGAGAGATTGAACGTAAGGTCCTTGCTTTGTGTGGTTCTTCGGGTCTTGGCTTTCTTCTCGTGTTTAACATCTATGTGAGGCTGGTGGTGAAGTTATTCAATGACATGGGGTCAGGTGTCAATACTGCATGTATGATACTCAGTTCTGTCTCTCAATTCCAGAGTGATCAAGTGATGCTGTTGAAGTTCTTTCTTACTGCCTGTAAGCTGTTAGTCTAGTTAGGGAGAAACAAACTTAAACTGAATAGTAGCAAGACCAAGTGTCTGTGAATTCAAGAATGCTTTATTTCTGGTGGCTTTCTAGCTCTACATAGGGCATTTCCCTAGACAAACTCAATAGAGAATTTGAGGTCCCTGTGAATTCTAAGTTAATCAAAGAATAAATTGTAACCATAGCTGAGAGAGCCCTTGCACAGATCTGCCATTCTTCCTTGCAAATCCTCTCAAGCTCAGTCAGGTTGGATGATGACCATTGGTGGACAACCATTTTCAGGTCCCTCCAGAGATGTTCAATAGGATTCAAGTCAGGACTCTGCCTGGGCTGCACTAGGACATCCACAGAGTTGTCCCTAAGCCACTCCAGTGTTGTTGTCTCGGCTGTGCGCTTAAGATCATTGTCATGTTGGAAAGTCACCCTTTGGCCCAGTCTGAGGTCCTGAGCATCATAGAACAGGTTTTCATTGAGGATATTCCTGTACTTTGCTTCATTCAGCTTTCTCTCAACCCTGACCAGTCTCCCAGTCCCTGCTGCTGAAAAATACCCCCACAGCATGATATTGCCACCGGCGCCATGATTCACTGTTGGGATGATATTGGGCAGGTGATGAGTGGTGCCTGGTTTCCTCCAGACATGTTTAGAATTGAGGCCAAACAGTTCAATCTTGGTTTCATCAGATCAGAGAATCTTGTTCCTCACAGTCTGAGAGTCCTTCAGGTGAGGTTTTTTTTTTTTTGCAAATTCCAAGCGGGCTTTCATATGTTTTGCACCCAGGAGAGTCTTCCATCTAGCCTCTCTGTCATAAAGCCCAAATGGATGGAAGGCTGCAGTGATGGTTGTCCTTCTGGAACTCTGTCCCAGATCCACACAGGATCTCTGGAGCTCAGTCAGAGTGATCATCCGGTTCTTGGTCACCTCTCTTACTAAGGCCCTTCTGCCCCTGTTTGCTCAATTTGACCAGGTGACCAGCTCTTGGAAGAGTCCTGGTTGTGCCAAACTTCTTCCATTTAAGGATTATGGAAGCTCCTGTGCTCTTAGGAGCCTTCAGTGCAGCAGAAATGTTATTGTAGCCTTCCCCAGATCTGTGCCTTGCAATAATCCTGTCTCTGAGCTTTGCAGGCAATTCCTTTGACCTCATGGCTTTTGCTCTGCTACAGTATGCCTTGTCAGCTGTGAGGCCTTCTATAGAGAGGTGTGTGCTTTTCCAAATCAGGTTCAATCAATTTAATTTACCACAGGTGGCAGCAATGATCAAGAGAAATGGGAGGCACCTGAGCTAAATTTCAAGTGTTGTTGCAAAAGGGTCTGAATACTTATACCAATGTGATATTTCAGGGTTTTTTAAAAATAAATTTACAGACATTTCTAAAATTCTGTTTCACTTTGTCATTATGAGGTACTGAGTGTAGATTAATGAGAAAAAAAATGAATTTTAACAAATGTAGAATCAGCCTGCAGCATAACAAAGTTGACAACAGTGAAGGGGGTCTGAATATTTTCTGAATGCACTGTATATTGAATATTGGAATAACTTTGATTATAATGAAGTAACACATAAAACCCCCAAAGCTATTGGTTAAAAACTGTTATTTAAAAATGTATGCAGTTGGAGTGAACTGCAGCTGTAGAATGCTTGCAAAGTTATTGTAATGATGTGGCTTGAGTGTGGACAATCGTATTTTGGACTAACTAAAACTAAATTTCTTTTCAGAGACAGTTACATGTTGAATGCTGTATTGTAATCGAGTGGAGACGTTATGCTACCTTGTTGACAACTAGGCTATTAGTTTAATCTATGAAGCACTTTGTTTTTCATGCCTATCCTCTGATAATTCAGTAGCTAGGCCAGATCCAAGGGTTTTCTTGTACTCTTTTATCTCAGAAGAAATGGTTAATATTACTTCCATATTTTTTGTCCCTGAACAACTCCATGTTACAGCATCTGGATTGAATGTTGGTTTATTCATCCTCATATAATTTAATTTAAATATACATGGGTTTAGGTATTAATTGGATATAGCTAATAAGGGGATTAGTTAAATAACACAGTTTCTCTAGTTGTGTAAATGCTTTTGGAGCATTCACAATGAATGGGAAATTATTTAATAAAGCCCTTCAGGTTTTTTTTTACAGTTCAGTACTTTATTTCGTTATAGATGATACTGAGTTCTGTGCTATAGTTCTTTGTCCTAATGAAGAATGTTAAACATGATTCAAACAAACAGACATTTTTTATGAAGTTTCATGTTCATTATGTGCATTTTTTTAAATTACTCCCAAACAGGAATATTTTTACCTCTGAAGACAATGCTAGGACCAAAATATGATGATAAAGTTGCTGAAGAGTATCGTTTCCATCCCTTTATGTTATCCAACTATTTAAAGAGTCTCAAGGTAAAGAATATAATTGAATTTTTCTTTACTATCTAAATAATAAAGTTTTTTTTTTACTATTTTACCGATAAGTTTCTCTCTCTCTCTCTCTCTCTCTCTCTCTCTCTCTCTCTCTCTCTCTCTCTCTGTCTGTCTGTCTGTCTGTCTGTCTGTCTGTCTGTCTAATTTATATACCACCCATCTCACTATCAAGTGATTCTGAGTGGCTCACAATGTTATAAATAATAAAAGGAAACAACTAACACATTAAAAGATTAAAACATTGGACAGCAAAGTTAAAACATTTAAGTTAACAACGAAGCGCATAAATACAATGCTTATTTTCCGTAGACAGAGCTGTATCTAGGAGAATTAAGAGAATGTATTTTCTCCCTCCTATTACTTTTTTCTGTATACCTCTCCCCAAATTGGTTTCAGAGGATTCTCCTAACACTAAAGCAGGAGGGGGGTGGTGTATGGGCAGCAGGAGGAGAAACCACACTTTCTCCTGACAAAAGGCAGTTTTGGCAATGGGAGAGAAGCATTGGACTCCATCCTTTCTCTTATAAATTCTGTATGTGAGGCTTTCAGTGAGACAACTTGGGATATATACACAGCCATGTTATTTCTGTGGTGTATGTATAACATCAAAAAAGTTACTTCTGAATATTAACCGTTAGAGTTGCGCATGTTTATCATAAACTGGTTATCACAGTGAAAGCCTTTTATGGCACGGGGCCAGGTTATCTGCAGGACTGCCTTTCCCTAAGCATATCTAATGAGAGCTAGGCAGCATGCCTTTTCTGTGGCAGCCTCTGCCCTATGGAACGCTCTTCCCCCTGAGGTTTGGGCAGGCCTCTAACCTCCCAGCCTTCCAAAGACCTGGCTTTTCTCCCAGGCGCTGGGATAAGATTGGATAATTGCCCATTAGGACTTGACTTGGCACCAGATCCTGGTTGTTTTTAATGTTTTGATCTGTTTAGTTCATAGTTTTAACATGATTTTATATGTTTTAACTTTTAATTGAGAGCTGCTGAAAGTTGGTTAGAAGATAATAATAATAATAATAATAATAATGATAAAGTTGGAAGGGACCTTGGAGGTCATCTAGTCCAACCCCTTGCTCAGGCAGGAAACCCTATACCATTTCGGACAGTAATACCCCAATCAAGAAATCGCCAAAGAAGCCAACAGTAAACAGCCCAACCAAACAACCTGTAAGATCACTCCCACCAACACTGACAGGGGCAAGAAACTAGAATATAAACTGACAGTAAACCCCACTGCTCACTAGTGTTGATATTACCTAGTCTGAGTAATAAAAATCTGCACAAAAATCACCAAGCTCAAAGAGTACCAAGGACCTCTAATTTTAACCCTACTTATAAATATTCTTTATTAGTGCTAAAAGGGTCAGGAAGGAGAAACACCTCATGGGCAGCTAGACACATGTTTTAAATAAATAAATTACATAAAAGTTATATTCACCATACGTGTAATTTCATAGATCTGTATTAAACTCTTAATTTTATTACTTTCAGGTTAAAATGGGCCTGTTAATAGACTTGACAAACACCAGTAGGTTCTATGACCGAAGTGATGTAGAAAAAGATGGCATCGTATATGTAAAGCTTCAGTGTAAAGGGTAAGCTAATGAGACTTCTGAATATTGTTTTGTGGAGGAAAATCCTTGCCTTTACTTGACTCTTCTCTTCTTGATAGGCACGGAGAGTGTCCCACTCCTGAAAACACAGAAACATTCATCCGTATATGTGAACAGTTCCGTAATAAGAACCCAACAGAACTTATAGGTATGTATATTAACCTACTATGTGACTGTTTTCCATCTGTCTTGGTTGCTTTTCCATGTAATATACTTAATGCTCCATTTGCCGGTCTCCACTGTAGTTGTGCATAAACATTTCACAACTTAATCATCCAGCCAGCATCGAATCATGACAGCGAGCAATAGAACCAAAAAACCCGAAATAGGATGAAATACCAGGATGTTGGAAATAAACATTCCTGAATGATGTTTGTAAAAAGGGCCAAGCCTGAATGACTGTCATGAGCTGTAATTAGTTTTCCATTCATCTAGATAAATTACACAGCATATTGCTATCACCAATGCCTTGCTGAACAGGGAAGTATCAAGATGAAATCAAAGCTGAAATCCAAATAATTTAATTGGAGAGTTAAGTCTTGACCTATTGTTGGGGGGTCATAGAGATGATCATGAAAAAGGTATCCAGAAGCGATTAGGACAAGAGATGTAGAAGAAGCATGCATGAAACCTGAATGGACGGGTGGAGGTGGGGGAAGTATTAGAAAGAGGCACAGACTGCCTCCACCCTAACCCTTTGAAGGAGAAGAGGGAGGGAAGGGGAAAACTCAAGTAAACTTGCTAGAGTCTATTACTGTGACCTGTCTTAATAAAGTATAGTTTTAGTGGTCTTGTAAAATCAGTTTCTTCATCTGTCTGTCTCATAGGGCTGACACACACATCAACTTTGAAATTTATTACAGGTCTTTTTTTTCATCACTTGATTATGCTGGACTTGTACAAGAACTAAAGTTAACAGAGAAGTGTAATGATCTGGAATAAATATTATTATGGAAATGCCTCATTGAATTGCATACTCCTTTTTAATATTAATTACCTTCTTTACCGTACGGCATTTATTACAGTGCAATGCCGAATGCTGATTGACATTGCTAAACAATGTGGTCACTTGGCTTTTCCCATTTAACAACCACATTGCTTAACAGAGTTTCCGGTCCCAATTAGCATTATTAAACAGCTATTTTACTTATATACCACATAATTTATTTATGTGGTTATGTACAAGTGTTTAACTTTCTTGAAGAGAGGCCAAAATGATTGTATCAGTAGCCTATTAAATTCTTCATTTAATTACCAAAAGAAAATTTAGTCTTAATGTTTGATCCTGTTGTTTAGCGCATTATAACCTGCATTCCAATTTTGATTATGAAGTCTTGAACAGATGTTAACTATTTTAGGAAACTGTTTTTCAGGTATATCAACAATCTGTCTGTTTGTCTTTATGTATATCTCACCTTAATTTTTTTTTATAAGTAATTTAAGGCAGTGAACATGCCGAGTATTGCTTCCTGTTCCTATTCTCTCCGCAACAACCACTCTGTGAGGTGGAGCTGAGAAAGCGTGACTGGTCCAAAGCCATCCAGTTGGCTTTCATGCCTAAGGCAGGATTATATCTCACTCTCTCCCAGTTTTTAGTTTGGTACCTTAACGAGTAGACCAAGCTGGCTCTCTACAAATATATAGTATGTGATATTTGCTTGTGTATAAATAAATAAGATTCAAAATAAAGATATATGAGTACAAGATCATTCATTTTTACTTTCATTATATAGCTTTATTAGTTCCTACTTGTAGCCGAAACACAAGCAGCAGAAATAAAGGATTTTTTAAAAAAGTCCATTGAAGCAGCAAGATTAAGGGAGCTTCCATTTCAATTGTCTTCATTTGGATCGTTAAATATATTGGTCAAATTCTAAATGATGCCTACATTTAAATATTTTCTTTCAAGTGAAAAGAAAATGGACTCTCTCTGTTTTATCGTGGAAAACCTGGGTTAAACTTTATACGGGTAATCCTCAAATTATGATCACAACTGAGCCCAAAATTTCTGTGGCTACCGTAGGTGAGGCATTTGTTAAGTGAATTTTGCCCTATTTTATGATTTCTTGCCACGGTTGTTAAGCAAATCACTGTAATTGGTAAGTTAGTAACACAGTTGTTAAGTGAATCTGATTTCCCCATTGACTTTGAGGTTGCAAAAGGGGATCATATGGTCTCTGGACACTGCAACCGTCAATAAGTACATGCCAGTTGCCAAGTATCTGAATTCTGATCATGTGATCATGGGGACACTGCAATAGTTGTAAATGTGAAAAATGGACATAAGTCACTTTTTTCAGTCACGTAACTTTGAATGATCACCAAATGAACCGTTGTAATTCGAGGCTACCTGTATTGATTTTGTTTATTTAGTCTTCTGTGTATATTGCTTTATCATAAGCATATGCATTGTATTAAAATAACTAATGAACACCCATAAAATTTGACAAAGAAGCATCAATAAACCGTGAATGATTCAAGCTCTAGCAATGAAAGTCAAGGGACACAGAGGGAAAATAGTACTATAATGAAATATGAAGAAGACCAAACTAATGACAAGCCCAGCAAACCAGTGTTAGAATAGAAGAAGTTGAAGAGATGGACAGTTTCTGTCTTTTAGGATTGGCTAGCAGTGTAAAGGAACAAGAAATCAACAAGTCTGCTGTTGACCAGCATGTGGTGTAGAGTAGCATTAAAAGCCTTGGAAAATGTACATGGATACCATCTGTGCTAACAAAGATTGTTATCAGGCAGACAACAAAGTAAAAGATGAAGAGACCAGATAACCACTGTGAGATCATTTTCAACTTGGTTGTTAGGGAAGACTCTTGAAAATAGCATTCATAGTCCAGAAAACAAATGGGACGGATCATAGGATAGTCCAGAGGTCTCATTTGAAACACAAATGACGGTTCAAATCCCCCAAAATTTGGACCTAGTATGTGAAGGCCTAGCTCTCTTGAGAAGTCTGTAATGCTGGGAAAGGTAGAGTGAAAGAAGATGACCGACAGCAAGATGGATGGTTTCAATTATTGGGTGCACATTTAAAGACCTGGAGGGCAGGTGGGGAACAGGTAATCTTGAAGCAGATCTATCTAGTTCAGGGGTCTTCAAACTTGGCCCTTTTATGACTTGTGTTGCTGGCTGAGGAATTCTGGGAGTTGAAGTCTACAAGTCATAAAAGGGCCAAGTTTGAAGACCCCTGAGCTAGTTGCTAAAACTCAACACCAACTTCACGGCACATAATCAAATTGAGCTAATTTAGACAGATTTGGGAGTTTCAAAACTAATGCAGAGTCTTAATTATTCCAGTATTGAAACATGAAAGACAGTGCTCCTGAGCAAACTTATTTGCTCTCATGAGTTGCTGTCCAGAATAATTGTAACCGATATTATGGAATATTCCACTGTTTGACAGCCTCATTTGAATTTTAAAACTTGTGAACTGGATACTTTGATGTCATTTTTAAGAATTGCTTTTTTTCTTGACCACTAGATGGAGACATTACCACAGAAATAAGGCAGAGGTGGTGGTGGATGAGAACCAGAAAGTACAGGATATCTGTTGCCTCAGTTTAACAGGGTGTGGAAAGGTGGTGGACTCAAGCTCTGATGATGTTAAAAGAAATACCTTTATATTTGGGTATGTCAAGTTTAATGAAGAGAAGGACGAGGGGGGACATGATAGCAGTGTTCCAATATCTCAGGGGCTGCCACAAAGAAGAGGGAGTCAAACTATTCTCCAAAGCGCCTGAAGGCAGGACAAGAAGCAATGGATGGAAACTAATCAAGGAGAGAAGCAATCTAGAACTAAGGAGAAACTTCCTGACAGTTAGAACAATTAACCAGTGGAACAACCTGCCTCCAGAAGCTGTGAATGCTCCAACACTGGAAGTTTTTAAGAAGAGACTGGACAGCCATTTGTCTGAAATGGTATAGGGTTTCCTGCTTGAGCAGGGGGCTGGACTAGAAGACCTCCAAGGTCCCTTCCAGCTCTATTCTATTCTACCCTACCCTACCCTACCCTACCCTACCCTACTCTACGTATTTAATTTCATATAAATAAGTGCATTTTTTCCTTTCCTGGTTTCAGTTGCTAAATTTGTTCAGTGTGTCTATGATTCAATCAGATATTTAAAGCCATTGATATAGTTATTTATATGCAGAGTTTTGGTATGAATGGAATATTATGTGACTTTGTCAGAAGTTTGTTTAGAGAAGTATACATTCATTCAAAGGAATATGACAACTCAGCAAGTATACTATATTGTATTGAAAAAACAGACTATTGTCCTGGTTTCCCCTCTTAAATGTATATATGCAAAATATAATGAATATTTTTTTCCAATTCTGATAGAAATATTCTTAAAATGTATCCAGAAACCTACAGTATATATTTTTTTCTTCATGTATCAGTAGCTAGTGACCAGGGGGGCGTTTTATCAGGTCCGCCTGATTCACCAGTTGCGACCTTTTCTGGACCGGGACGCCTTGCGCACAGTCACTCATGCTCTCGTCACCTCTCGCCTGGACTACTGTAATGCTCTCTACATGGGGCTCCCTCTGAGGAGCACCCGGAGACTCCAACTGGTCCAGAATGCGGCCGCGCGGGCGGTGTTGG